AGGGAGGGAGGGAGAGGGCAGGAGAGAGGGGGAAGAGTGAATTTATATAGATATAAGAGAGGGAGAGAGAGGGGAAGAGAGAGAAAGAAAGAAAGGCAGAAGACAGACAGACAGGCACAGACAGACAGACAGACAGACAGACACAGACAGACAAACAGTCAGTCAGTCAGTCAGTGCGAGAGCGAGCGTCGCACAGAGAACTAGTCGCTTTATCACCGAGCGTGGAGTCCGTGCGCTGGCCGGCCCGCGTGCGGTGCGAGCGGGGGGGGGAGAGAGAGAGAGAGAGAGAGAGAGAGAGAGAGAGGAGAGATGAGAGAGAGAGAGAGAGAGAGAGAGAGAGAGAGAGAGAGAGAGAGAGAGCGAGAGAGCGAGAGCAGCTCCGTCCGATTGTGCTTACCTTCGCCGGGGGTAAGTGGTGGGGGGGAGGGGGAGGCTGTGAACGAGGGGGGAGGGGGAGGGAGATGGGGAGCGTGGTTGCTTGCCACCTCAAGGCAGTGTTCCAAGCTGGCATGCGAGAGGCGGCGAGGGGCCCCGGCGGCGGCGGCGGCGTCCCTCTGGCCTTCTGTCCCTCTGTCCGTCCTGTAGCAGCGGGACAGGCTGTCCGTCAGTGGCCAGTCACGTGGCCAGGCGCGGACAGTGGCCCTCCGTGTCTTTTTGTTTATTTTAGGGCTATCTCGCTCTCTATCATCGGGCGGGATCAGAGTTGCCGTTGGTAAGATGTTCACTAATGTATTTCTCGTCTTGTCTTTGCAGATGAGGAGATAACGGCGCGATAAGGCGGTATAGGTAGTGCCTCGCCTCCTCCTCCCCCTCTCTTCCTCCTGTCCTCCTCCTCCTCCTCCTCCTCCTCCTCCTCCTCCTCCTCCTCCTCCTCCTCCTCCTCCTCCTCCTCCTCCTCCTCCTCCACCCCCTCCCCTCTCCCGCCCCCTGCTAAGTGCCGGGGGAGCAGCGGCGAGGCGATCCGCGGCCGCGACGCCTGAGCAAGGGCGAGGGCGCGAGGCAGCTCCTCCTCCTCAGTGCCGGCTCGCCGCAGGCAGCGCCAGCGGCTAGGCGCCCGGGGCCGAGCGGGTACGAGCGCATGCAGGCGAGGGCATCGGGGGGCGGCGCGTGAGTGCCAGCACACAGTGGAGACGGCGAGGCGGCACCAGGGTGTCTAGTGTGCGCGCGAGGGTGCCAACAGGGGTGTCGGAGGTGCCCAGCGACCACTGGTGCCTCGAGCGTCGTTGAGGAATGCGCCCGCCGCGAGCCTGACCAGCTGTGCGAGCCTCCGAGCTGCGGTTGTTGTGACGAGGCCCCGGGAAGCGCACACGCAGCCACAGGAGGAAAGAGTATGGACGCCCTGCCGTTGCCCAGCGCGCCCCTCCGCCACGGCCAGTGCTAGCGAACCCCCGCGGATATGGAAGAGAGAAAGAGGAAGAGAAAGAGGGGTATGTGATAAAGCTAATAACAGAGGAAAGAACGACTAGCCATTGCCATTGTCCGCAAAGTGTACCGTACTGTGAGCGATCGTAGAATGTGGTAGGGCCAGAGTTTACGTCGCAGACACTCATTCAATTAACGAGACGACGCCGGAGGTGAATGGACCATAGAAGGCTTTTATTTGGCCAGTTGAACGGCGGAGGCAAACGCGCTGGAAAATGCTCGGAATTGAGCCTGAAATTTAGTGCCCCTTCACGACCGCCCCTCGACTCCAGCGGGCTCTGTCCATAGCACATAAGGGGCTCCTCTTTGTGTAGCTGCGCCCGTCGGTTCTGCTCGTGTGTTTCCTGCGCGGCCGCTGGCGCTACAGTGTGGCAGAACCAAACCGAACCAACTCGGTATCCAAGTGCAAAGTTTTTGTCTGTGTTGTGTATGCGATAAGATAACGTAAGAGACAAAGCCGTCCACGCCTAAGTGATCAAAATCCGACAGTGGAAAGTAAAAGTATTGGTAGATTGGTACATCCGGGACTCCTGTGGTCCGCCTCCCCCCCACGGCCTGTGCCCCCTCGGCCTGGCCTCCACGAATCAGCGCCTCGCGAGGAACTCCCTTGGCGACTGACCGGCCCGTCCTTCAGGAGGCGTCGCCGTCCCTGCCGTAACGACCCCGTGTCCCCTTTTTGGCGTCGTCGGAAGGGCCGTGCGTGCCCCCCCCCCCGCGCCACTGCCCACCGCGTCCGAGCCTCGTGGCCCGCCTGCAGTAACAGCGCTCTCCCGCCCCCTCCTGCAGCAGCAGTAAGCCGCCCAGCAGCCCGACCAGCGAGCAGGCGAGCGAGCGAACAGCCAGCGCCATGACGGCCCTCAACTCCCTGTTCTCGTTCACGTCCCCGGCGGTGAAGAAGCTGCTGGGGTGGAAGCAGGGCGACGAAGAGGAGAAGTGGGCCGAGAAGGCGGTGGACTCCCTCGTCAAGAAGCTGAAGAAGAAGAAGGGCGCCGTCGAGGAGCTGGAGCGCGCCCTCTCGTGCCCCGGCCAGCAGTGCAATTGCGTCACCATCCCCAGGAGCCTCGACGGCCGACTTCAGGTAAGGGCCTCGCGCACTCCTCCTGCTGGCGTTGCCTCGGAGGAAGGGCGTTGTTGTTGTTGTTGTTGTTGTTGTTGTTGTTGTTGTTGTTGTTGTTGTTGTTGTTGTTGTTGTTGTTGTTGTTGTTGTTGTTGTTGTTGTTGTTGTTGTTGTTGTTGTTACCACCACCTTTACTATTACTATCATCATCATCATCATCATCATCATCACTTTATTATTTTTGGTTATCACTTTATTAACATTAACTATTGTGGTCTTAATAAGTTTTTTCTGAGTTATGATTGATATATGAATATTTTTTTCATAATTACATTTCGCTATTTTCGCAGTTCACAGAAAAGGCATTTATTTTAATTGATTTTCTTTCTTTCTTTCGTTCTTTTCTTTCTTTCTTGCTTGCTTGCTTGCTTGCTTGCTTGCTTGCTTGCTTGCTTTCATTCTATATTTATATATATATTACTCAATTATTTGTTTTATTTGTTTACTCGTTTATTCGTGTATTTTTTCATTTATTTACTACTTATATGTTTACTTATTTATGTATTTGTTTATTTACTTGTATATACATGTATTTATATACTTTTTATGCATTTATTTATATATTCACTTATGTACTTGTGTATTTATTTATATATTTAGTTATGTACTTGTATATTTATTTATTTATTTATTTGTTTATTTACATATTTATGTATTTACTTATTTGTACATGTACGTATTTTATTTGTTTATTTGTTGACTTTATTTACTCGTTGATTTTATTTACTTGTTGATTTTATATCCTTGTTGCTTTTATTTCCTTGTTGATTTTCTTTATTTGTTTATTTGTTTATATTTATTGTGAGAAAACCCAAGATTTCAGATTCCGTAATTCAAGACCGGTTTAGATAACGTCGGTTCTCGGATATCGCAAAAATCGTCTTATTTATTTATTTGTGTATTTATTTATTTATTTATTTATTTATCTATCTATTTATTTATTCACGGGGCGCGTCTTGTTCTTTTTGCATTTCTTCTATACTCTTTGTTCATTTTTTTGGGGGGGCGTGAGGGTGGGGTGGGGGGGGTCGTTGGGATTGTTGTTGTTTTTGTTGTTTGAATGGTTATAGTGGTGATATTAATTATTATTGTTATTGCTGTCATTGTTGTTGTTCTTGTTAATATTTCTGTTGTTATTAATGTTATTGTTATTGTTGTTGTGTTATCATTATTATTATTATTATTATTAATATATATATATATATAGATAGATAGATAGATAGATAGATAGATAGATAGATAGGTAGATATTGCGGAGGGGGGTGACTTTATATGCTGTATTGCGCTAGTTAAATTAATAAGTGTCGTAATGAAATATGTATGTACAAGTCTAATGCGTGCATGTATGATTTATATAGATAGATAGATATAGATAGATAGATAGATAGATAGATAGATAGATATAGTTATAGGTATCTGAACTTTTCTGTCTCTGTGCTGTTTTGTAGTATAATGATGTCAATGTATTTGGTTTTGTTTTTACGGTTTTATCATCATTGTTGTTGTTGCTGTTGTTGTTATCATTAGCGTTGTTGTTATTGTTATTGATTTTTTTTTTTGGCGGTATAATGATATTGTAATTGATTTTGTTTTAATGGTATTGTTGTTGTTAGTCTTCCATTGTTGTTGCTATTGTTATCATTTTTGTTGTTCTGGTTGTTGTTACTGTTTTTCTTCTTATCCTGTTGTTGCTTCTGTTGCTGCTACTTTTGTTGTTGTTGTTGTTGTTGTTGTTGTTGTCGTTGTTGTCGTCGTCATCCCAAACACGCCTGGAAATAGCAGCGATCGCGGGCGTGGGCGTGTGGGAGCAAGGGCCGGTTCCGTCTCCACGCGTCTCACAGGAGAGGGGGGGGAGGGGGAGGGGGAGGGGGAGGAGGGGAGGAGGGTCGAGTCCTTGCCAAGGGAGGCAAGTTGAAGGACGGGAAAGGGGAGTCGAGATGCCTTGCGGAGGGTGAGCAAGGAAGGCGGGATTCCTTCTGGAGGATCAGGAGGAGGGGGGGAGGGGGAAGGGGAGGAGGGAGGAGGGGGAAGGGAAAGGAGGAAAGAGGAGGGGGGAGGAGGGAGGAGGGAAAGGGAAAGGAGGAAAGAGGGGGGGGGGTGGAGGAGGGAGGAGGGGGAAGGGGAAGGAGGAAAGAGGGGGGGGGGAGGAGGGAGGAGGGGAAAGGAAAAGGGAGGAAAGAGGAGGGGAGGAGGGAGGAGGGGGATGGGAAAGGGAGAAAGAGGGGGGGAGGGGTGGGATGGGGAAGGAGGAAAGAGGGAGGGGAGGAGGGAGGAGGGGGGGAAGGGAAAAGGGTAAGGAGGAAAGAGGGGGGAGGAGGGGAAGGGGGATGGGAAAGGGAGAAAGAGGGGGGGGAGGAGGGAGGAGGGGGAAGGGAAAGGGGAAAAGAGAGAAAGAGGGGGGAGGAGGTGGAGGAGGAGGCCGGTGTAAGAAGAGGAGGAGGAGGGATTGAGTATGTCTTGAAGGAGAGTAAGGGAAGGTCTGGGTTCCTAAAGGAGAGAAGGGAAAGCCAGCTGGACTCTCTAAGAAGGGAGGGAGGGTGGGAGGGAGGGAGGGAGGGAGGGAGGGAGGGAGGGAGGGAGGGGCAAGGGAAAGAGGACAAGCACTGGACTCTTCGAAGGAGGGAAGGAGGAGTCTTGAAGTCTCTCTGAAGAAAGGGATGTCGGTCTGGAGTCCTGAGGGGGAAGGGGGGGCCGGCATCCGTGTGAAGGGGGGGGGGGTTTGGTTGAAATAGGGCGAGGAGGGAAAGGAGCGAGATTCCGGGGGGGGTGGGGATTTGGGGGTCGTGATGCCTGTGAAGATTGGTCCGGAGGGGAGAGAAACGCACGCAAGAAGAACCGAGGAGGGGGAGGGAGCAACGGAGCAGAGCGGGAGAGGATACGCCGCCGCCGAAGAAGAGCACGCCGAAAGCACAAGAGCCGCCGCCCGAACCCGCTATGGGAGGAGCACTACTCTCCTCCGATGTGTTACTCCTCCGACGCCTCTTTCTTCTCCTCCTCCTCTCCTCCTCTTTCTTCTCCCTCCTCCTCCTCCTCCTCTTTCTTCTCCTCCTCCTCCTCCTCTTTCTTCTCCTCCTCCTCCTCTTTCTTCTCCTCCTCCTCCTCCGCCTCCTCCGCCTCCTCCTCCTCCTCCTCCTCCTCCTCCTCCTCCTCCTCCTCCTCCTCCTCCTCCTCTTCCACCTCCTCCTCCTCTTCCTCCTCCTCCTCCTCCTCCTCCTCCTCCCTTGGCAGGACGCTCTGGGGATCGAGGGGGGGGGTTGAGCTAGCGGGTGGGTGGGTGGGGGAGAACCCGCCTTGAGGTTGTGGCTTTTTATCGTTTTTTCGTGTTTGTTTATTTTTATACGTTTTTATTTGTTGGAAGTTCGAATCGATTTTGTAATACTTTATATATATATATTTTTTTTTCATTTATTCTTTTCTTTTCTTTTTTAGTTTTTTTTTCATGCATTCGGCTGGTTATTGATGGTTCCCTTTTGCGACGCTGCTCAATGTAAAGTCCATCTTGTTTTATCAGAGTTTGCGGTCTGGCCAGTTAACTTGGGTAATGGGAACCGACGGAGAAATGAAGAGGTGGTGGCGGAGGCAGTGACAGCGAACACACACACGCACACGCACACGCACGCTCGCACGCACACGCACGCACATACACACGCATGCACATACACACGCACGCACATACACACGCACGCACATACACACGCACGCACATACACACGCACGCACATACACACGCACGCACGCACGCTCGCACGCACATACACACGCACGCACATACACACGCACGCACATACACACGCACGCACATACACACGCACGCACATACACACGCACGCACATACACACGCACGCACATACACACGCACGCACATACACACGCACGCACATACACACGCACGCGCATACACACGCACGCGCATACACACGCACGCACATACACACGCACGCACGTACACACGCACGCACATACACACGCACGCGCATACACACGCACGTGCATACACACGCACGCACATACACACGCACGCACATACACACGCACGCACATACACACGCACGCACATACACACGCACGCACATACAAACGCACGCACATACACATGTACAGAGACAGAGACGTGAGAGAGAGAGAGAGAGAGAGAGAGAGAGAGAGAGAGAGACCGAGAATGAAAACGACAGAGAGAGAGAGAGAGAGAGAGAGAGAGAGAGAGAGAGAGAGAGAGAGAGAGAGACTGAGAGCAAGAGAGAGAGAGACTGAGAGCAAGAGAGACCGAGAGCGAGAGCGAGAGCGAGAGACTGAGAGCGAGCGAGAAAGAACGAGAGCGAGAGAGAGTGAGAGAGAGCGAGCGAGGGCGCGGACGGGCCGAGTGCATTGCTCGCGTCCTATCCGGGGCTCAGGTGCGGGCGTGGAGTGGGCGGGCGTGATTGTGTGTCGAGATTTCCGCGGCGGCGAGTATAAGCTGGCTGGCAGGTGACAGGTGGGCCCAGACGCGTGTGATGTAAGGAGGAGGTGCGCCCTCTTCTGGTCTGGGATTTTTCTGTTTTCTGTTTTCTGTTTTAACATTCCTATTTTTTTTTCTTTTTTTTCGTTTTTCTTTTTAACGTTTCTTTATTTTTTTTTCTTTTTTTCGTTTTTCTTTTTAATATTTCTTTATTTTTTTTTTCCTTTTTTGTTTTCCTTTTTTTCTCTCTTTTTTTCCTTTTTTTTCTTTCTCTTTTTTCTGCGCTGTATTCTTGTTTGTTTGTTGCTTTTCTTTTCTTTTTCTTCCGTTTTCTCACTTGTTCGCTTTGGTCTTGTATGTTTGTTTTATTTCTCGTTTTCTCGCTTCTTCGCTATGGTCTTGTTTCTTTGTTTTTTTTTTCATTTTTTCCTTTTCTCTTCTCTTCGCTTTGTTCTTGTTCCCTGTTTAGCTTGCTTGCTTTTTTTTTTTCTTTTTTCTTTTTTGAGTTCTAGTTTCGGGGTGTAA